ATCCACGTGCACAAACCACTCATCCCCGCGCATTTCCAGCACCACTTGATACGTCTTGTTGGGCTCCCACGCACCCGAAGACTCTTGGGCTGCAGCACCATGAAGTTTGGCCTTCCACTTTCTCTCCGCTGTGTACGAGAGGCCGAAGAGCACGGTGCTCTCTGTGTCATTCATCCTCGCGCCCAGCAGAGGAGTGTCCTCCTCCGGCACCGCGTGGATGATCACTGTCGCCACGAGAGCGAACTCGTTGTTCGCAAAGTAGTACGGCTGGTTCTGCCCCAGTTTCCCCACGGGCCACTCCGCCCCCGCCCCGGCGCCTTTGAACGTCACGCCGCTGGCAATCCCCGCCGTGCTCGCCACTGCCCCAGCTGTCACTGTGGCGTCGACGCAGCGGTACTCGTCCTTCCATGCAGTCTTCTCCAACGTGTTGGACAAAAGGCCCACCAGCCCTTCCGTGGGAACAGAGCTTTTGCACACGCCCTTTAATGCAGGCACGGCATCACTGCCAGTGGAGGTGCACTCTTTCAAGGCCGTGTCCAATGCGGTCCACTTTTTCACCACTTCCTTGATCTCCTGCAGCTTCGCAGTCAGGGGCACAGAAACAAGGCTGTACGACTCTCCAGCTTCAGACTTCTCGTACAGTGCAATTAACTCCTCCTCCTGCGCACCGCTTCTGTACAGCAGGGAGCTGGCGGCGGCGTTGTGGGCCGCGTCGGACACCGGCCCAACGTCATATACGCGTTGCATGTCCGTCGCCCAAAGATGCAGCCGAGCCTTTGCGGCGTCGCCTTCCGCCGAGTACACCGGCGTGGTGAGGAGCATCACCTTCTTGTCCCCGAATTCTGCGGTGGTGAAGCCGCTCTGCACGCCGTGCCCTCCCTGGCGCCGCAGTGAGTTGCCCCACACGCGGGAAATCGACTCGCCTGTAGGATACCACTGCCTCCCAGTGGACATGTACACGTCGTAGTAGCCGCCCGCACAATGAGCCATCGCGAGGAGGTTTCCGTCGTCCCCCCACTCCACGATGGACGGGTCCCTGCAGCCCGCGCCGGTCGTATCGTCCGAAAGCTCCCATTTATTCTCTGACGGAGTGAAGCGCATGGCCAGCAGAACTCTCTTTCCATCCTTGTCCGTGGCCTGCATGGGGAACGCAAGCGTGCCGTCCTCCAGCACAACACCCGAGCCCCCGCCGCCAACCAGCCGCGTCAGGGATTGAACTCTTCTTACGGTTTCGGGCTCCACTGAGTGGGGCTTACCCCACTCGATTTTTTTCCCTGCACCATCAACCTCGCCGGTGACAGTCCCCTTCACCAGGAAAAGCTTCCAGCCAGCCTTGCCGGAAGCCTCATTCGTAGGCGTCGCACGTCCGTAGTTTCCCAGCAGCATGTAGACATCGTTGCCATGCACAACTGTTGTTGGCCGCATTATATCCTCTGCCTCCTCCTCGCCTTTTTTTAGCAGCTGGGTGCGGAAGGAGCTTGTCCCCGCCGCCGCGGGCTCCATTGCAGCACCCTCACCTGGCCTGAGCAGCCACGACGCAATCCCGGTAAAGCCGCCGTCAGTGGCGCCCTGTTGTTTCTTCTTGCAGTGGGCCTCAGCAACGGCAAACACATCGTCCCCCACTTTCACAAGGCTGGGCACACGCAGCGAGGTGACTGACCTGTCAGCATCGTCTGTAATTTCTTTCCACTCAG